GGGGGGGGGGGGTTGCGGTGGGCGAGGTGGTGGGGTCCGTGTGGGATTTGGCGATGCGACTGCGCGTGTTCTTACAGCGCCTCCTCGAATGTGATTCGAGCCGCACCGAGAATTTGAAAGGTGTCCCCTCCCGGAGAAAAAGGAAGATCCGCCAACTGCTCAGCAGATGTTGCGAGCAATTTCTCCCCCCCACCCCATTTCCACCGCACCTCCCTCCCCACCCATCCCCCGCTCCATCAAAAGCTAAAGCTGGCGCAGGACTGCGCAAGGCATGCGTGTAATAATTATTAGCACCTTGGTTAGTGTTACGTGATTAATTCCATAATCGGCGCAGCCCAGCGCGTCGGTAGCAGCAGCAGCCCCTGCGAAGTGCAATGCAGGCGGAGGGAGGCTCTGCGAGTGCGCACGGGGAAAGGCCGAGCGTGTTTCACGAACGTGTGAAGCCTGCCGGTATATTTGCACAAAGTTTATTGTCGGTATGCGTGGTAGTAAATATTAATATTCGGCTAATTTGATGGCTCAATTGGTTAATGGCTAAAGTCACTCGGCGTCTTAAAACGCGCGCGTGGTGACGCTGGGACCAATCGCCCCCGCTCACCCCCCTCCCGCCACCGTGTTAGCGAGTAGGATTATAGCCCTCCAAATGTCCGACGTTTTACACCACGTGTTGAGGGCTTTTCAGGAACTTAAACGAGTCATGTTGTTGATGAACTAGTCGATGTGTGTGTTGCATTTGGTGGGGTAAAGCGTGGGTACTCCCTCCTCCTCCAAAACGTTTGGCCAGCATGGAAGAGCAGGCCAAGTACACTTTAGAGGGAACATTAGAGGTCCAATCGCCTATAGGGTGGCGTGGCAGAGAGTAGGTGGCAGTGAGTGGATCAGTGTGGCCTGAGTTGTAGCGTAGCCCAGGGCTTAATCTAAGACTTCCATTGAGACCCATAAACTTACATTGAGACCCATAGACTTACATAGACACACAACTACTCAAATTGATTGAGATCCGTAGACTTATATAGAGACCCATAACCCTACATTGAGACCCATTGACTTAACATAGACACTCATAGATTGACACAGGGATCCATTTCAGTCACGTTTATCGGGCCACCGCCCCATATTGACTCTCCTTGGTCACGTGCCACATACTCCAGTCTTACCAGCGACGAGAAAAATGTCTCCGAACTCGGCACACCAAATCCACTGTAGTCACGTGTGCCCACCTCGATTCTTGCCAGCAAGCCAGAACATCTTCAGCGAAAAAAGTAAGCTCTGGACAAAACGGTCACAAGAGGTGAACAAGAGCGGCACGTGGAGGCTGTGTGTAGGGGCTGTGGAGGTTGTGCGTTGAAGGCTGTGTGGGGGGAGGCTGTGTGGAGGTTGTGTGTGGAGGCTGTGTGGGGGGAGGCTGTGTGGAGGTTGTGTGTGGAGGCTGTGTGGAGGCTGAGGTTGTGCTTGGAGGCTGTGTGGACGCTGTGTGGAGGCCGAGGCTGTGTGTGGAGGCTGAGGTTGTGTGTGGAGGCTGAGGTTGTGCGTTGAAGGCTGTGTGGGGGGAGGCTGTGTGGAGGTTGTGTGTGGAGGCTATGTAGACGCTGTGTGGAGGCCGAGGCTGTGTGGGGAGGCTGTGTGGAGGCTGTGTGGAGGCCGAGGCTGTGCTTGGAGGTTGTGTTTCAGTGGCACACTACGCTATCTCAGCCCACATCACTTAGCGGATAATAACAAGAGAGTGCGCAGCGTCCCTGGGGGATTGTGTATGCATTTTTGAGCGTTATCTCCTTGTACGTGTGGGTTTTATCCAGTGGCTATGGTTTTCTTTCTATAAAAAGTGCGTGTATATATAATACACAAAGCTAAAGATCCCCCGCGGAGCCATCAATAGACTTTTGGGGAAAGTGCCATTAGCGAGTAGCACCTATGAAGGCCGGCCCGGAACACGAGGGGGTGAGTGGACAGCACCACGCCCGGTCTCCTTGGTCTCCTGAGTGGCGATGTTTACACAATGCACCAGGTATTTATTTCAGGCTGAGTCGACTTAGAGGAGGCCCCGGATCTAGTATAGATATTTGTCACCGATGTTGGTCCATGGGTGTGCGAATTGAACTTGGGATGCCGGGTTCGCAGGGCAGTGTGCTAACTACTGCGCCTCTCCTCCCACATATATATACACACGTGGGGAGCGGTAGTGTAGTGGTCTAGGGAGTTTCGCTACGAACCCGGCCACCCGAATTCCACTCCCGCTCACGGCCAACACCAGTGACGATTATCTGAACCAGTCCTGGGCCTCCACTTGGTCGACTGAGCTACAAACGAGTACCTGGTGCAGTGTGTACACATCAGCGCTAAGGAGACAGGGCGTGGTTTGTGGAGGATGGCCCGGGCTGTCGGCTTCCAGAGGAGGGTGTTTTGTGGCCTGCTTCTTCACACCGGTCAGACGTCTCCGCAGAGGTGGCAGTACCCACACTCAACCCCACTACGCTCGACCTGCCGCTTGATCGACTTCAACCGCTGTTGTATATCTAAATGTTGGTGCTGCTGCTTGATGCACAGATCCCAGGGGAACCGTTGTTTCAACCGCCGCGTCAGCAGAGTGCATCTTACCGGCGACCTCTGGATCGCAAACCTACTGATTCGCTCACCTTCGCCACACCGGTGTGGCAGCGTCGGGCTCTTGTAAACGATCAAATCGCGAGGATTATCATCATCATCAAGTTTACATTTTGTCTTGATCATGCAAGATTCACCCATGCGTTTTCCATCTGCATCACCTTTCTGTGCGTCCTTCCCCCCCCCCCTCGCTCTCTCCTTCCCTCCCCCCCAACACTCTCCCCCCACACCCCTCCCCCTGCCCCCCACCCCCTACCACCCCCATCTACCCCCCCAAAACCCACCCCCTCCCATTTCCCGGTTAACAGATGGGCTGGGAATAGACATTCTCTCTGTTTGTAAGGAACAGATGGCCAGGGACTGGCTCAGAGTGCTGGATTTTTTTTCTGCGTGTGTTTTTTTCCCTTTTTCCCTCTCTCCGTGAGATGTGAACGCAGCAGCAGTGAGCCGCTTTAAAAGATACGGCTTCGTCCACTGATCTCTGCTGGAATTACACGAAATAAAGTCGCTCAAAGAGAGAACGAGAGAGAGAGCTTTCATATCCGCGCGTACAGAACGCGGAACAACGTAAGACAATGATTATTCCGCTCGTGCGGCGTATGCCCATCGAGGGGCATTGGTGCTCATCTCCTGCTCATGGCTCTGCTGAGCCAGTGCTGTAAATTCCACGTTCCTATGGCGGGGCGGGGAGGGGTGCGGTGAAATTATATGCCTCTGTTGGCTTCGCCCGCAAAGTGGTTGTTGTTGTAGCCTGCCCCCCGGTGGGGAGTTGAACTCGCAACCTTCCGCTTGTGAGCTCCTCTCGCTGAGCCACCTGGCTGGATAGTGTGAGCCACTCTACGATATACGCGTGACGAAAACAAATACACTCGGCACATTTCGTAAAATAACACCGTGGCCTTACAAGGAAGAGTACGTGAGAGGCGACGTATCGGTGGGGGCAGGGGGGCGGTGGCCAAAAGCACGTCAAGTAATCCGTTTTATTCACGCGGACATAAAATAATGAGAGCATGTGGTCATTCCAGCCGCACTTAAGCCACCAAACGATGTAGGTCTCCCTACACCGTGTCAGTTACGTCGCTATTTTCTTTTCCCATACTTCACGCCGGTCAGTGAAGGGGGCGGTCGGTGGGTCGGGATTGGGGGTTGAAGGGGATGGGGGGGAGATGGGGGGTGGGAGATTGCCCGGTTCTGACATCACTCGCCGACTGACAGCTGCCATCATCGGGAATCAAACTCGGGTGGCCGGGATGGCGACGAAGAGCCCAAACGTGCGCCGCGCTCGCGAGAGCCCCTTGGTTTAAACGGCGCCGTCGCATTTCAGCCGCTCGTTGCCACAACAACAGCAAAAAAAAGGCCGCATTTCACTTGCAATAGTTGTGTTATCTTTCGATTTAAAGCTTTCGTGACTGCAGGGATTCATCTTCTTGGTTCTTTCGGTAAAGTCATGTAGAAGGGAAGTAATAAAATAATAAAAATAAAACATAATAAAATCAAATAATTCTCACGACGTTTCGGCTACAACGCAAGCAGCCGTCTTCAGGTGAAGAATGAGACACTGCCAAGCTAGGAGCTTATATATATGCTGAGTTGGAGGTGGAAGAAGAAGAGAGCCTTAACAAAAGAATGTGCATATCAAGAGGAGTTGTGTTATCGTCCAGGATTGTTGTCTCACGCAAGGTGGTGCACCGCTCGCCTGTTACCGTGAAGGTTCTCAATTGAAATGTGCTGCCGCTAGACGTGACAATGGCACAGCGATAAACTGTCGTGTTGTATGTATATATGTTTACACAGTATAGCTTGACAATGCTTCTGTGTGTGCAGTGGCACACTAGCACTATTAACAGGAACAAAAAACATTTGTTGACAACACTGGCCAGCTCTTAGAAGCTGGCTACACATAGATGAGCTCTCTGTGGAGCTTCCCATGTTATAATATCGATATAATAATAATGTTGAGTTTTACACACAGCGTCATCGTTCATGCAAATTGCATCTCTCAGTCGCCGAGGAACCACAACCAAGCCCGAAGACAGCGTCCAGGCAGTGAGCCGGCGCTACCAACGTTCACCCGAGCTCTGCAATCCTCTGCATAGCAAGATGTTTTCAGGCAATCAATGAGTGTTTGCGTGCGTGATGAAACCCAGGGTGTTCTGTAAGAGGCCGCTCCCAGCAGCAGCGGCGTGAACCAGCGATTGCTCCTTTACCTTTACCCCCTTGTGGCGGCAGTTGGGGGCGTGGGATTTAAGAAACTCACCCCCCCCCCCCCCCCCCCGTCGTTTCGAATGCCGTGCCGGGGGATTTAATTGAACCGACGAACCCCCCCCCGTTTTGGATCGCAAGTCATTAATCACGGTCGTCTTTGTTTCCTTGTCTTTGTTTTTTTGTCGCTTTTGCAGAATCGAGGATGTACTTCAAAAACCCGGGACTCTACTGACCGGGCGTCAAGGTGGCAACGAATTGGGTTGAGGGGGTTGTGGGGAGGGTGGGGGGTTGGGGGGCAGGGCAGGGTTGGGGCGGGGGGTGGATGGCGTTTGGACTAAAACGAGCGGACGGAGTTGTCAAGGGTCACGCAGCCAAGTGGTCAGTGGCGATCACAGCCCAGGGGCCCCTGTGGGGGTGAGGTGGGGCGGGGGGGGGCTGGGGCGGGTGGGGGGGGGGGGGGCATGTCCGGGGGTCGAGCCCCCCGTGAACCCAGGGGGGGGGGTCCGGAGGCTGCCCCGACTCTTCCCGAGCGATTTCCTGTTTGTGCCCCGGCGTGCGGGGGGGGGGGGGGGGGGGGACCCGTGCTTCGTGCCCGTTGCTGCGGCTGCCCCCCGCGTGTGTTTGCGGGTCGAGACGGCCACCGGACGTCCGACGGTTCACTCCACGTGCCGGGAGCTTCCTCCTTCTCCTCCTCGTCGTCCTCTACTTTTTCTGCAGCTGAATTCTCCAGGAACCCGAAAACACATCGGGAGCTGCTCGCAAGCGGCTCGTAAAAAATAGGGGGGGTGGCGGGGGCTGGCTGAGAATTTGTTGACACTGAATCCCGGTGTCTGCGGGAGTGAATCTGCATGTCCCGTCTTTACTTGTGGTTGCTGAACATGAACGTGTGTTTGGGGCGTGGGGGGGCGGCCCTAAGATGCTGCAGCGGCTGGCGGTTTTTTTTTGGGGGGGGGGGGGGCGTGAGGAGGTCAGGGTTATGATCCACCACCCCTCCCCCCCCTCCCACTTGGATATTGATTGCGGTTGTAAAATATAAAACGGAGTGTGCCCCTCTCATACTCCCCCCCCGCCCACCCCTCCCCCCTCTTCTCCCACCACCCCAACAACACGTCCATACACATTCCCTCCTATTCCTTACCCACCCCCCCCTACCCCCCTACCCCCCTTCCTACCCCCCCTCCCCAAAAGATAGAGTAATGCAAGGGCACTTTGCGATGGTGCGAACACAAAATTCAATAGAGAGCACTGCCCTACAGCCAGCCATGCTCGGGAGTATAACACACACAAAAATACGAGATGCACCTTTTTACAAACTTAGTTTTTTCTTGTGTAATTTATGATTTTATATACTTGTTTTCAAACAGTGCACAAATCCTCTCTCCCGTGAGTGTCGCCTGTGTCGGGGTTCACCGGCGGTGGCGGTGGTGTGTTTTGCGGGAAGCTCCCTCGTTCAGGGGGAACCCTACTGATTTATTCTACAGATCTCGCATTCCCTTCCCGTGGTGGGCGGCGGTGGCGCGGGTGGGTGGGGGGAGGTTGGCGCTCTTGGTGGTGGCGCTGGAGGTGGCGCACCGCTGACCCACACGCACACACGCACGGACGGGCGCGACGCCACTTGACTATGTAATTACGAAATGGGAGTTGAGGACGCAGTTGCTCATGCCAACGGTTAATTGTCGCCAGAGTTAGCTCTTATAAGATCCATTGTACAGTAACGAATCTGCAGTCATTTTTAACGCGAGCGCAAAAAAAAAAGATTGAAGAACGCGCGCGCGCGTACACACACACGTGAACAATACTTGCTGTAAAATATTAACACTGTTGTCTTACTTCGGGCCCCGTGAAACGACCGGGGTTTCCTGTAACACTTTCATAAATGATGGCACCCATCCTGTAACTTCCAACTTTTATGTGACCGTTGTTTTTTTTTGTAAAAATCAAAAAGCTGAAAGAAAAAAAAACGTAAGAAAAATATTAAACTTCACGTCCGGATCTTTTTGTGTTCTCTCCAATCGTCACGCACACGCTCGCGTAACGCGCACACTCGCGTAACGCGCACACGCGTGTAATACGCACATGTGCGGCGCACTCGTCGAGGTGAAAACGACGGGGAGGGTGGCCGCCGCTGCCTCGGAGACATCACGAAGCTGGGCTGGAGCCCTCTGAGATCCTGGGTTCGAATCCAGGCACCAGTTGCCCCCGAGATTAAACCGCGTCTTCCCAAGTGTCGTGAGTTGATAGCTTCGGCATGGTCACTGATGACCAAGCGAACCGTCAGATTGTTAAATGTTATTCTGTACTGAATTCGTAAAATTTACAGCTCCTGAACATGAAAATATTGAAGTCGCTTTCATGTGGCGAACGTTACTCTCACATGGCCGAGTGTGGTAGGGAAAAAAGCCCTTGATTGTGTGGACCAGAGGTTACGTGATGGGATCTCAGAGGTAGCTCTGCAATATCCACTTCCGTGGGGCCGTGATGACGGGAAGCGTCGCGCGTCTGCGAGAAATCTCAACGTATTGTTCCGTCTCGTGACGATGCGACGCTTATTTAGTGTGATTGGGGTGACCGTTTTGGGGAAAAATAATTATAAAAAAAAACTAAGTGAGTTGAAACGACGAGTGAGCGAAGATGAACCGGAGACTGGGGTTGAGAAATCGCATCGTGGTATTTTGTTGGACGAACCGGTGACGCAATGGGAAATGAAACTGAGGCAGCTGTAATAAAGCCCTCTCGGTTTAAACCCAGGCTGTCATGGGATTTCAACTTGGATCACAAAGGAGTTTAAACTCGGGACTAATGGGGAATTGACCTCAAACCATCATGCGATTTGAACCCACATTATTGAGGGATTTGAAGGCCAGGCTAATGGGATTTAAGCGCCAATTACCGTGGGATTTAAACGGAGGGTTTAATGGGATTTTAACTCGAAACCACTGGGATTTGACCGCAGCAATACTGCGGTATTTAAAACCGGACTCCCATGGGCTGTGACCTCATACAGTCATGCGATTCAAACTGACACTATAATGGTGTTTGAACTCAGACTTGCATTGCGCGTCGATTCCGTAGTCATGGCTAAGCCATCAGTGGGCCGTTGTTTCGAATGCCCCTCCAGGTGTTGTGATCCTGCACCCGTCGCAATGCCTCCTGCCTTGGCTTCACGTCTGCACTGAGCGCGATGAACAATGAATCCCCTTCATCGGGAATGTCAAAACTCAAACTGAGGACCACACCCAACCTGAATTCGAACAAATCAGGGATTAATTTTCTCACCATTTCCCGGGTTCCCTCGTAGACTGGAGTAGCTGGCGCGTGGCTTTAGTGGCAACCACGGGCAACAATGAGGTATACTGGATGTGGTGTGCCGGGCGCCACTCCCTTGGTCAATCCACTGCTGGACAAAGGCATCCCGAAGCAGTTGCCATCTCACGATCCTGCGACGCATCGATCCACGTAGCACCCACACACGAGCTTATTGGGTTCCTCCGGTTTGAATAAATATCTTGATTGTGATCTAATTGCTCCGTATCCTCGATGCGCGTCCTCCTGGGAACGTTTCCCTCCTTTGGCTGCCATCATAATTATCGACCATCGTCCCCGACGCATCCCTGCCCAAGCCCGATTTTCATCGCAGGTCGGAGGATGTCATTGGCACTGCGTGCGTTCTCTAATCCAAGTGCTCCTCTTGCCCTCTGCCAACTGCATTGCGGATGGTCGTGTCGCTTCGAGGCAAGGTTCACCAGCGCTGCCGTGAGTGATTGGCCACGATTTTGGAACGTGTGTGGCCGTTACTCCGGCCTCCAGCGAGAAGGCAACAAGCCGAAATGACTGCGCGGGTCCTGTAGCATGTTATAAAGGGGCCCTAAATTAAACATTAAAGCACACATTTTTTTACTTGCATAGTAAAGTTATTGTATTTTTTTCATTTTTCATACAGCCGGGTAATGCGACAAATCTCTAACCTTAAACAGCCAGTCGTTCATAAAAGTTGAAGGCGGTATAGTGCTATTGTATTAGAGCCAGTGCAGAATCACTGAACCGAAATTGACAGCTTGAAAGCATTTAGCGCGGGGCCCTTGAAAGTGCGGGGCCCGTAGCTACTACATATGTAATAGTAGCTACTACATATGTAGTAGTAGCTACTATTACATATGTAGCTACTTTTGCTACGAGGATAATCCGCCACTGCATAGTCCCCTGTTTTAAAAAGCTTAAACGTCACGATTTAAAGCTTTCGTGACTGCAGGGATTCATCTTCTTGGTTCTTTCGATGAAGTCACGTAGAAGTGAAATAATAAAATAATAAAAAATTCAGACGCTGTCTTTCCGACAGACCTGTTCTTCACCTGAGGACGGCTGCTTGTGTTGTGGATGAAACGTGAGAATTGTATTTTATTGTTTTATTTTTATTATTTTATTATTTCCCTTCTACGTGACTTTACCGAAAGAACCAAGAAAACTTAAACGTCACGTTGCGAACCGTCCACACGCCCCAGGGATGTTTCTCGACCCGCCTCTAGTTGTAAGTATGTTGAACTTATTTCCTACCGGACGTAGCCAACTGTGCTAATCGGAGTCTGTCCAGTGACCCCTCCCTTGTCCAGCAAAGCCCTACCGTACGACACTTCACGTCACAGCCTCAGAATAAGTGTACCTAGCCTGGCACAACCGCTGTGTCGAAGTCACTGTCACTCAGGTGGCGAATGGGCGGTTACCATTACACGTCACGAATCCGTCCTCAAAATCATCACCATCGCTGCGCAACCAATAATGAATCGGCTGCTTTGTGTTAACGCTTAATGCGAACTGTTTTTGGTTTTATTTCACCCCGGTCCTGAGATATTCATTTGTGCCTCCCCCACCGTGAAGAATGAGAAGACGCCCAGCTGGCTTAAACATTGCCTCCTTCACTCTCAGTGGTGGAGGGGGTGGGGGGGAGGGAAAGACAGCAAATACCACAAACAAAACCAATCTGCTATTTCTGTTTAATCAGCTCACGTAAATAGAGGCGCGCGCGCGTGTGTGGAGTGCGGCACGCGCACCTTGTTTGATTTACGCTCTTAGGCAAATGTATCGCGGGTTAAGGCGACAACTAAATGCACCGATTGACGCGAAAGTTGCCTACCCCGACGACGGCTTTACTTAACGGAGATTTATAAAGCCCCAAAATCCTTAACGCCGCGTAAATTCGTGCCAGGCGGGGAGGGTGGCGAGTAGATTCGTAAATAAGCGGACGTTTAGCGAGATACGCTAGGGATTTGCTGCTGCTGCTGCCCGTTGGTGTCGTGGGCGAGCGCACTTGGGCTCGATTCGATCTCCGGGCGCAGCAGTTGAAGGAACGGGGCAATTGATTGAACCTCGGCCGCTAGCGTAGCTCACGCCCCCTCCCTGTCTTCCTCCCGGCAGCGTATAAGTGGGTAACACCGGAGTTGACATCGACAGACGAGAATTCGCGTGTGGTCGGTGGGGTCAAATATGGGTACTCGCGCCGAGGACAAAGATGCCTGTCCGGCGTGGAAGAGTAGGCCAATATATATCAATCTGCTGGCAGGGTTGGCCACGTGCGTTTTGAAAAGAAGTTCAACATATATCTGCCAGCAGCGGCGTGAACGACATCGCTTGTGCGCGCGATCAGCAGCGCTGAGATCCATCTCCGAGCTGCCCCGCGACACCAATGTAACACTCACGTGCGTGTGTGGTCGGGAGCGGTGACACAGTGGTTAGCGCACTCCCCGCCCACAGACAACATTCGTGATCAATATCTGAGCCGTTTCTGGGCCTCCCCTAGGACGCGAGTACCTGGTGCGGCGTGTAAACATTGGCACTTGGTCAGGTCATCTCAGTTTGCAGCCCGCATGCCCACCCACAGCATGGCCAAGCAGCTTCTCTGTTTGGCCAGGGAGAGGGGGGCTAAACGGGCGCGGCACGGGCTACAGAAGAGATGGAGCTGATGCGGTACGGGAGGATGGGGAGCTGAGTGGACTTGACGTTGACCTGGTATCGGCGGTGTCAAGATCGACCTCTGTAGAGGAGGCTCGTGAAGTACGCCACTGGGCAGTTGGAGGCAATCGACCTCCAACAACAACGGAGGGCGGAGGAGCGACGCTCACAACAACGAGCGGAGCGCCAAGCGGCTTAAACAAAGCGAGGTGGCACAGTGGGGGGCACAAGTGGTGCATCTGCCAGTCATCTCAGCTGGTCAACTCTAATACCTGTGTCCGTCCGGTGACAGCTTGCCGGCAACGAGCCTTCAACGTTACACGTGATGGCCTCAAAGTTCACGTAACCATGCACACAGCGCTGTGGTGACTTCTGTACCACTCGATGGCGCATGGCGGGTGTGGTGTCTCGTATAACCGCGCACTGTATCATAATTCACAGGATTCACAGCATCCATCGAGGTGGCGAGGTCTCACGCAAGCGAGAGGAACCGGTCCATTTGCTCAACCTATCTGCCGACTACTTTCATACCTACCTAACCCTTTGCGTAACTACCTACGCACTGGCCTGCTTCCATATCTACCTATCTAGTACATAGCCACCGAGCCACCTATGTCTCTACCTCACTGACCTACCTACTACCTACCTACTCACCCCCTCCACACCTGCCCACCCGTGCCCACGCACCTCACCACTACCGGAGTCGCTCACGAAGCGCTGCGACGTTTGGTGTCTGCCAATCTCCCTAGGAAGTGCGCGTCAATTAAACGCTGACGCGTGCAGCTGCCGTCATGGATGGAGGCGGGGAGGAGGGGAGCGGGGAGATAGAGAGAGCGAGCGGTCAGTGGCCCCGTGGGTCTGCTTCTCTGTCTCGTCGATACATTGGAGTGCGATTGTGATGTGGTTGTGGGGCGGCGCAGTGTGTGCTGTGGTTGTGGCGCGGGGTAGTGCAGTGCGGTGCGGTGCTTCTGCGGGGTGGTTGTGGTGCACTGTGGTCGGGGTGTTGTGCAAGTGTGGTTGTGGTTCAGTGTGGTGCGGTGTAGTGCAGT